CATATATCATCAATTAGAGCTTGAGAAACTAATACTTTTTTTTAGAAATGGAGACAGAAGACTGAAGGTGTATAAAAGAGCTGCTTGCAAGGAAGATGAAAACAGTCACTGACCACTACAAAAAAATTACAGCCTTCCCCTTACACAGAAGTCTTAGGTGCAGGCACAGCCATTTCAGTGTATGAGAAAGTGAGTCTTTGGCACATGATGGAATCATTAAGACCATAGTATTAAATCTCTAAAGAACAGAAATAGAGAGAGGTCTCTTATGGTAAAATAAGTGAATTTGTCATCTTGACAAATTAAGACAGAGATTTTCTTCATGAGGATTTAACAAAAGAATTTTTTTACCTTTCAAGATTTTCTTTTGAAGCTTTACATGACAATAAAAATGCTAATCATTGAATATCTAAAATTCTATTTCTCTCTTTGTTCTTAAAGTATTTTGTGTGAATATTATAGTCATGTTAAAAGTACTCCAAGTACTGTATTTGTCCTTAATGAAAGCATGTCTTTTTTAAAGATAAATACAAGACCAAACAAGCTAGATGACATCCACAGGTAGTTCATTATTTGATGAATTCATTGTCTAAACATAAAAATGAATTCTCAACATTGGACCCTAGAAATTACCAGTCAGAACGAATAAAGAAGAAATCTCCTTCCAATCCAGTTCCTTAAATAAACTAAATGGTTTATAGACCAATAAAAAAAAAGCTTAGAGATATAAGTATAGCCAATTGGAAGATAAGATGCTTATTAGTATCCAATAAATACCCTAGCAGCTCTTCACCAAGGTAAAAAAAAATTAGCGCATATCTGATCACATAGCCAAAATGCCTCAGGAACCTTATTTTCTGACAAAGGAAATAACTAACTTTGGGAACTCAACCAATAAATATCATAATTCAAAGTAAGTGAACTTATCACCATAGAGAAATCTTCTGTATTAATTACTTTTCTGTTGCTGTGATAAAACACCATGACCAAATGGAATTTGAGGAAGTTTTTTTTAGCATACAGTTCTAGAGGCTAGAGTCTGTAAGGGCAGGAAAGGCCATCTCACTTCCATCCACCCACAGGAAACAAAAAAATAGGAAGAGGACGTGGTTATAAATCCTCAAAGCTGGCCCCAGTGATTCCCTCCAGCAAGGCTGAACCTCTGAAAAGGTTGTCCCAAACAGCACTACCAACTATGAACCATATGTATATGAGGTTATGAAGAGACATTTAGATTCCAACCACTATATCCCCTGAGCAAAGAGGCTAAGAGAATTCAGTGAAGTGCAGCATAACCAATGAGAGAACCTTAGTGACAAGGCTTCTTACCTAAATCCTTTCTTTTACTATATTGTATTTATTTATTTATTTGTGTTATGTGTGTGTGTTTGGGGTGGTCATATTATCTATATTAGCTAATATAGCTATATTACAAAGGTCTCATATAGCTAATTTCTAGTGACTGAGGATGACCTTGAACTCCTAATCGGCCTGCCTTTAAGTCCCAGGCACCAGAATACAGGTGTGCACCACCATACCTGGCATAAAGCTCTTGTACTTGGTGCTTCATAGTTGCCTTCAGAGCAAAAATCATCTTTATACCAAAATAGCATATTTTGAGATGACATATTTCTCTACTGTAGTATAAAATCTCAGCAATATCTCAAAAGGAAGCAACTACAACAGTGTGCATGCATAATTTTAAGGACTAGAGTTGGTTATCAGCTGGTTCTCAAGGAGATGGTAGTAAGAACAGTCCAGTAAAAGACAAGTAAAAAATTTGTAAAGCTGGTGGCTTGCTGGAACAAACTTTCTCACCTTTTTAGTCCACTTGGATTTACAATTAAATAGCTTTGTCCATAATCCTATGTCAGAGTATAGAGATCTTAATATTTGTATTAAAACTGTCACCTATGGGGCTGCAGAGATAGCTCAACAGTTAAGAGCACTAGCTGCTCTTCTAGAGGTCTTGAGTTCAATTCCCACTACCCACATGGTGGCTCACAACCTCTATAGTGGGACCTGATGTCCTCTTCTGAGATAAAGGTGTACATATAGAGGAACTCTCGAATACATAGAGTAAATGAATAAATCTTTAAAAAAAAATAAAGAAACTATCACTTTTGATAGTTTGAATTGCATACTGTGGTTTGTACAGTTTAACTATTACACAGGCAATAGCATGGTATGGCAAATTCATGTTTCTAATTCGTTCCTCAGAAGGAAAGCTTATTAGCAAGGCACCTACTTGTAAGGCTTTAAAAAGAACTCAGATAGAATATACTGAATACCTAGAACTGGGAACTTGGGCTGTTAATATGAAATTGTGGAGATGCTGGTAGCAGGCTGGATAAAAATGAGATAAAATAGAATGAAACCAGGTATGGTGATACACATCCCAGCCCTTGAGAGCAAGGACAGTCAGGTACAGCCCGGTTCACATGGCAAGTTTCCAGCTGGACTACATAGTGAGACACTGTCTCAAAAAAGAAAGAAAGGAGGGAAGGGGGAGAAAAAAGGTTTTAATCCTTGAGGTCTTTGGGAAGAGAGTAAACCACAAAGGGAAAAATCAACATCCAAAAGTTGAGTATTGAAAAGCTAAGAAGTTAGTAGCATCATTGATGGTACCAAAAACTAGAAATGGGAATTTAAAGTGATAGATAGGAAAGAGATAGTAAGATATTTTGTTTTATTTTGCATTTTTTCCTCTTCTATACTTATTACTAATTGTAATAAGTTTTAAGCACCATTCCAGACATGGCTGGAAATTTAACAGAAAATTGGATTAAATTGCAAAGAGGAAAATTGTAGATTTATTCTCATATATTTAGCTTTCCATTTAATTCTATATGCTTCTTTTAAAATACTTTAAATAAACTATAAGTCTACCCACCTCATTTAACCAGCTATTATTTCATTATGTCAATTTTACAAACTTCTTGTTCTCTAGCTATCTCTAACTATCCTCTTATTTCTGGAACTGTTTGTAAAAATATAACAGAGGCAATAATATAAGCGTACAGTTTTCTTTTTAACGCAACTTGTCTGACTGGCAGAGTTAGTCTGACTTACGGAATTACGAGTGCAGTGCTTTTGCTAGTTGAGATCAGGTAACTCGTCTATGTCAGCACTGCAGTAGCAGTCTTCAGTTCCTGCCAGGGACTTGTATAGGCATGGGTTGCAGTGTCCTATGGCTTATGATAAAGGTAAATTCGTACATTGTTTAAGGGAAGGCTTCCAGGTAACATGACAGAGAGTCTTTTTCCAGCCTTTTTGTAAAAGGATTGTTTTAAAGCCACTATTTTTTAACATAAAGTCAAATCTCTGGGTATATGATATCACTAGTGAATCAAAAGGAAAATTAAAGGGGAACTGGTTATTCCCCTGGGGATCCCCACACTAACAAGGTATCTGAGATGCTGGACTTGCTGTCTGCCCCCTTCAGTCTACTACCACGTAGTGCTTTGAGTCTGAGGTTGCAGCTCAATACTATAGCACATAGGGCCCTGAGTATGATCCTCAGTTCCTTAAAAGTAAAACATTCATTTTAACTTTATAATACTTCTGAAGCTGAAGTATCACTCTCTCTTTCCTTTTAACTTTATTTATTGTTATTGGGGATGTTTGAGTTGCATGCATGCCAGGGTGCATTTGTGAAGGTAAATGCACAGCTGCATATAGTTATTTCTCTTCTCTGCCTGTCTGTAAATTCCAGGGATCAAAATCAGCTATCAGACTTTGGGCAAGTACCTTTACCACTTACATGTAATCTTCGGTGTATGTGTGGCAGGTTAAAGGTTCCTTTTCTTGAATATTTTGCAGTCATAATGTCTGTGTTCACAATATAAACAAGAATGGTGTGAGCTAGCTAGCCCCTAGGAGTAACAATATGATAACCAAAGGGAAATTAGATACTCTTATCAATGAGGAAAGAAAATCTCATTTATTGAATCATTAATGACATGCTGCATTACTATTGTTAATAATACTCTATAGTAATGATGTAATATAGTATTGGTAATGTAGTGATATAAATGACATATAATCAATAATATAATAAATCACATTTATCTGCATAAACTGTTACTTAAATTCTAACAAGTACATTACAGGGTAGCTGTAATAAAATCATTTTATAAATGAGTTTGAGTAATTTGCTTTTAAAGTAAATCCAAAGGTGTTCCTACTGTACTGACTAAGCTGACTACTTACTGAAACAGCCTAATATAAAGTAAGTTTTCTTGATGGACAGCTCTGATACATATTAACTCAGAGAAGTAGAATTGTGAATGGGTGTAGTTAAATATTCTTTGTTTAAGTTTGTGTCTTGGACACAAAATAGCTGTTCCTTTCAAAGAAATTTTTCCTTAATAATGTTGATTCCACTTCAGAAAATATACCAGAAAGCTTAAAAAGAGAAAAAGTAAAAAGTTGTTCTCTCCAGACTTGAGCATATCAGATATTCTCATTGTCAGGTAAATTGGAAGAGGGTGGGAAGCTGGCTCAGCGGCTAAGAGCGCTGGCTGCTCTTCCTGAGGACTCAGGTTTGACTCCCAGCACCCACACAGTAGCTCGCAAATACAGAGAAGTCAATTCCAGGGAATTCAGTGCTCTCTTCTGGCCTCAGTAAGAACCAAGAACACGGTGGTGCATAGACATATATGCAAACAAAACACCCGTATACATAAAAGATATTTTAAGATGAATCGGAAGTTAGTATTGCCAGACCAAGATACTTTCATAATAATTTCTAGGAAAACCCAGTTTCTCCTTGACATTATTGCCAAATTATAGCCAAACCTAGTATGAAATTTGACCCACTCAGCTACCATTCTCCTTTACTTTCAATATTTATTCAAACTTCTTTGAGCATATAACTTCTACATGCCAGATGCTGTCTTAGATCTCCAAATGCCAAACGTATTCACATCTAATTTCTTCCATTAGAATAGGCAACATTACCTAAGAAAATAATTAGTGATGGTTTTTTGGCTTTGTAGCTGCTCAATCCTGAAGATGACCTCTTACCAGGAAAGATTCGAGACAGCAATCGGTCAACACTTCTAGCAACAATTCAGGAACATGGTTATCCCACAATCAACCTGGGAATTGTGGGAGACAAGTAAGTATAGATTTTTTTGAAAAGTAGTTATCCTGAAATATGAATATTTAGATTATTAGAGTAGATGGAGTTGGTGCTAAAGAGAACAACATGACTTTTATTGGTCACATTTTTCAGAAGTCTAAGAATTATAGAGGTGCATATGAACTTAAGTATTTTCTTAGAATGGGTTTTATAAAAGGAAAAATGTTTTTGCTTTGATGTGCTATGTTAAATTGAGATATGTTTTTCATGTAGTTGTCTTTAAGTAGAAATAAGGGTGATGATGTCATTGTTTTATTTCAAGAAAGACTTTGGAAACACAGGTGAGAAGCCTGAGAGAGACCGTCAAAACTAATATACCTGATTGTTTGACTTTTAAGCACAGTTGTTTTCCATGGGCTTGTACATTGATTTTGTATCCTTGTGTAACCCAAATTTCTTCCAGCTTCTCATATTTAACTGCAAAGGAGATGCATTAACTATACCTGCCCATCTTTAAGAACACATTGCCCCTACCTACCAAATCAGTTCAGATCTTCAGTACATTTTCTAAATGTTTCTGTCAGTTTCCAGTGGTGTGTCCTATCATTTAAAAAAAAAAAAAAAGTTGTCTCTATTTTCTGAGCATCCCACTACTAAACAACACTGATACTTAACCCTTTTCACAAAGCACAAATTCCTGTTCTCTAAAAGTATCACTGCTTTAATGATAATTAAACATTCACCTGGTGAAGATAAAGCTAGACTCCCTGGAGTAATGGCTGCAGGTATCTGACACCCATATCACTGTCTCCCTTATCACTACCTTGTCACTGGAGAAAGCTCATCATGCATTGATCCTTTCTTTAATATGGGTGCTTTTGAAGAGGCTCTGCCCTATCATTTTACAAAGTATATTCTAGTAGGTATACTATCAACCCATCCTAGATGGAAAGTGGGTACAGTCCAAACCTTAGACATCAACATTGTATGGGGAACTTTATAAAGTTCTTCCCTGAATTGTATGGTGTATGTGTATGTGTGTGTCTATGAACTTACTTCCTTTTAAAAATCCGCACTGTTTGTGTTCATCTGGCTTTTTAAAGGCTGTAGCTCATTGCCAGTATGCAAGTCACCTAGTACCAGAGACCCACCTCCTAGGAAGGGAGTGAGAAGAGCTTCACAGCAGGGGAAAGATACCCAATTCTTGGATTTGGGCCAAGCGGTAATCTGTCCTTTAATATAAATTTCAAGCACCTAAAACTAATATTGACATAGACATATATAAAGAACACAAAAAACAGCTTCTGAGAAGAGAAGTGATAGATTTAAGAGTTTTAAAAGCCCAAAGATAAAGTGAGCAGACCTCAAATTCCAGGAATCAAACTCAGCAGATTCAGTCTTAGTTCTCACTAAAGAGTGGTGCTGCCCTTGCTATCAAGTGCATTAATGAACTCTTTAAGATGTGTAAAGGTTAAAGGAGCCTTTTAATTAATATCTTGTTAAATGTCTTGGCCATAAATTGCACTCTCCTGGCCCATAATTCTGTCTATTGTCATTTTTAGTGTTGCACTTTTTAGTATTGGTATGGTTTGATGATATTTTTAATGGTTATGTGTATGCATGGGTGCATGTATGTTTGTGCATGTGCACACATGTGTTATGTAACACAGGCAAACTTCCCATTTCCAATACCATGTCAGCTTCCTAAGTGTCTGGGCCATAGCAGCCAGCTTTGAGTTTTTTGACTTTGGTTTTGGTTCTCTTTTTTAAGGTAGTTAGGTACTTGCTATAATATATTCTGACATTATCTTACCTATAAAAGCCAGAACACCTTTAAAGGGCTCTTTTTAAAATAAAACTTTTTAAGAAGCTTGTTTGTGGAAAAGGAATGAATTGTCCTTTGTTAGGAGACTTAGAGGCTCCTGGCTGATGAGATCCTGAAGTGGGAGAGCAATTAGGAAAAATAACTTCAAGACGATGGTAGGACCCTCCAGGGACAGAGACCTTTCATTTATTCAGATCCCAAGAACAAAGAGAATTTCAGGGTGGGAGGGTAAAGTTCCATATCATGATAACCTAGCCTACGTGCCAGAATTCACAAGGCACTGAAAGTAAAGTTATAATTTGGCTTTGTTTCCAGCTGCAAGGAGGGAGACTACAAGAACACTGCAAAATACCTTTGCTTTCTCAACTCTGCCTCAGAGAGCTATGGAAGCAGGAGAGACGGAGGGGAGATAGGGGAGACCGGAGAGCGTCTATGACCTAACTCTGATGTTTAATTGTATAAAGTCCTTACTAAATTTGTGATAGGTATTTCCTGGTAACAGTCATGTTGATATTTAACCTCAAAGCATACATTGAAAACAGCAAAATGAACAACAAACTATAAAACCCGTATAGGCAATTAAGAGAAATGTGTCACTTTGTAGTGTATATCCTTCTATTTGGTAGCAATACCTTACATAAGAGAAAGGGCTTGTTTAAGTGACTGTTGCTAATACAGACTTTTTCACTCTTAGAGTGCTGTATTATCGAAGCCCAGAATGAATGATTTAGAGCTCAGAGAAGTGGAATGTGGGAGGAAAGAATTTAATGCTATTCTAATGGAAATCTGCACTGGGAATTTAGCAAGGGAAACAAGGTACATAACTGTACAGCTATTGATATTCTATGTAGGTTGCCTCTTCATTCTTTTTGCTGTGTATTCCCTTTTCTAATGAAAGCAAATATTGTTATACAGAAACCTCTGAGAGGATCTCAGCATGGAAACAAGTTGGCATGGGAGGAACCCCAGATGAGAAATAGCTCAGGAATGCTTTTGAGCACTGCACCATGCTAAGCTATGAGAGATAAGGGTATAAAGTAGTCCTCGTATTCTTGCCATTTAGAAGGCTTGAGTGTGGTTTTTATGTTCTCTATGATTATACTTTTCAGCTCTTGTTCTTTTCTTGGTTGGTTGGTTGGTTGGTTGGTTGGTTGGTTGGTTGGTTTGGTTGGTTGGTTGTTTGTTTCAAGACAGGGTTTCTCTGTAGCTTTGGAGCCTGTCCTGGAACTAGCTCTTGTAGACCAGATTGGCTGCGAATTCACAGAGATCCTCTTTCCTCTGCCTCCCAAGTGCTGGGATTAAAGATGTACACCACCATCACCTGGCTTAGCTCTTGTTCTCGTTATTTACCTTGATTTTTACAATCAATATAACCTGGAAGAGTAAGTTATAACTTTTTAAATTGAGCTTAAGTTCACCATGTGTATCTATTTATTTATTTATTTATATCTGTATGGGTGTTTAGCCTGCGTGTATGTTGTACAGCATGTATTCCCAGTACTGTAGAGGCCAAAGAGGGCATCACATCCCTAGTTGTGAGCTGCCATGTGAGTGCTAGGAACCAAACCTGAATCTTCCAGAAAAGTAGCCAGTGCTCTCAACTGTGAAGCCATTTCTTCAGCCTATAAAGTTTGCCCTTTTTTGTATGTACCTTTTGTTTAAAAAAATTATGATGAGTTAATAAGTGAAAATTATAAGAGGAAGACTTCAAATACCTGAGAGTTAACTTTATTTTTTGAATGTTCATTTAGAAATAATAAGTTTATATTAAAATATATTTCCTCTATTTTTCTCACACTGTATAGAGTACCATACATTGGCATTTCTGGGGTTTTTGTTTTGCTTTCTTCTTTTAAAAGTCTAATTTTGAAACCCAGAGATGTTAAGGAATTTATCTGACATAAAGCTAGTTAGTGCAGAGGCAGAAATAAAACCTAAATTTCTTGAGATTAATAATGATTTTGCTATGATTTTGAAGACATGTAATAAAAATATGTCAGAAGAGCTGTAACAACTCTAAGCTTAGGTAGTCAGAACAAGTTTTATAAAGAATTTGAAGGATTAATAGAACCTAGATAGGAAAAGATGATAGGTTAATCCAAATAGGAAACATAAAATTTGCAATAATAGGCCAGACTAATTAGAACAAAAGGTTGGGTTGGAAGAACACATAAATTTGGTAAATATTGAGGCTGGGTTTTAAAAGGCTTTTCAGACAAGGTAGAGTTGCCCAAATCAACTGAATTTGAAGCTTTTTCTAACAGATGAAGTTATATAATAAGTCATTATTTTATTTTTATTTATTTATTTATTAAAAATTTCCACCTCCTCCCATTTCCCTCCCACTCCCCCTCTCCCTCTCCAGTCCTAAGAGCAGTCAGGGTTCCCTGCCCTGTGGGAAGTCCAAGGTCCTCCCCCCTCCATCCAGGTCAGTTGACTGTGTGGACTAATGACTGAGGGAGACTTTAGTCAGTCACCAGGAAACAGTGCTGTATATGGGTATAATGAATCAACTGAAGTGGGCTAAGACCTCATCTTTCTAGCTGTATAAAGTGAGACCATGACTGCTCCAAGGTGTGGCTAAGGGAAAGCTTTTTTTTATTGTGATGAGGGAGAGAACAGCCAGAAGCTTCTGGAAGAGTCCAGAGCAGGAATAGAAAGTAGTAGACTGAACATGTCCAGCAGACTGGTCTTAGTCATAAGAAGTGGGAGTAGGGGAGAATGAGAGAGGAAGAGAGAGAAGCAACCAAGGGAGGGGCAAAAGAGGGAGAAAGAGAGGAAGACTAAAGAGAGAGCATAGCTGAAATAGCAGTTATAGGAGTGAGAAGCTGGAGAGTGGGGCTTCTGAGCCAGAGCAGTTTAGGTTAAAGAAGGAGATAAGAAAAGCTAGGTACTTGTGATATAGTGAGGGACCCTGGAGGCCAGCATGTGCTTTGGTATGCCAGTGGGTGCCCTGAGAGCCATTTGTCCCTTCTGACAGTGAGAAGGAAATGGTAGAGGGGAATAAGCCCCAGAATTTGGGGGTGTGGAGTTTCCTTTGTACCCATCACTAACTGACTTCTAGTTGACCCGAAGCTGCTGGTTCATAGGTCACAGAAAGAAGCAATAATGCATTAAATTCAGTGAGTGCACTGTGAGCTTTAAGTAAATTGTTAATGAAAATACAGAAGTGAGAGAGAGATCTTAGCACTGAGGAATTATAGCCTAATAA